CACCTGGGCCCGGCAGGAGCGTCCCCGCCGCAGCGGCCCTCACGGCCCAGCGCACAGCTCGCGGCACCGCCAGGGCGACGTGCGCCGCCATCTTGCCCCGCCGCGGGGCAGGCTGGGAGCGCGAGCGGCGCCTGCCCTCATTGGCGCAAAGCTGGGTAGCATAGAGAGAGGGCGGGCGGGCCCAGCGCGCCGCTCTCTGCCGCAGGGGGTTGTGGGGAGGAGGAGGAAGGTGGTGGGCGGTGTGCGGGCTGGCGTGGGCGGGGAGTGGGCGGGGCGATGGGCGGGGACACCGCGGCGGGAGCGCCCCCTGCCGGCCACACCGCGCGGCGCAGTTCGGTGGCACCCTGGTACGGGGACCGGTGCTCCCAGTGCTCCCAGTGCCCCATCACACAGCCCAGTGCACCCCCATGTCCCCTGCAACACAACCCAGTGCACCCCAGTGCCCCATCACACAGCCCAGTGCACCCAGTGCCCCCCGCGACACACCCCAGTGTGCCCAGTGCACCCCAGTGCCCCATCACACAGCCCAGTGCACCCAGTGCTCCCCGCGACACACCCCAGTGCGCTCAGTGCACCCCAGTGCCCCATCACACAGCCCAGTGCACCCAGTGCCCCCCGCGACACACCCCAGTGTGTCCCAGTGCTCCCTGCAACACTCCTCAACCCATCCCAGTGCACCCCAGGATGCCCAGTGCCCCTGGAACACACCCCATGCATCCGACTGCTCCTCCGTGCTCCCCAGTGAGCCCCAATGCTCCCAGTTCTCTTCTCCAATGTAATCCTGGGCATCCCAGTGCACCCCCTGCAACACACCCCAAAGCTCCCCAAGTCTCCCCAGTCTCCCTCACAACACACCCCAGTGTCCCCCAGTTCTTCCCAGTGCCCCCTGCAATACACCCCAGTGCACTCCAGCACTCCCTGCACCCCAAAGCCCTGCCCGCACCCCCTTGTCACCCTGCAGCCCAAGGCACCCCTGCATCCCCCAACACCCAAAGGCACCCCAAGGTTCCTTGTCCCGCCCTGCACACCCTGAGCCCCCCAGCACCCCAGTACACCCCAGTACACCCCAGTGACCCAGCCCCACTGCTGTGCCCAGAGCCCCAGGGTGAGGAAGGAGAGCCAGAGCCATGGTGCCATAACCCCCTTTATTGCCCCATGCCCGACCCCTGGGCTCCATCGCTGTGTCCGTGCCGTGCCGTGCCGTGCCGTGCCGTGTCGTGCCATGTCGTGCCGCGTGCGCGACCGTCGGCAGAACCGTTACCATTACTAAACTCAGTAATGGTAACGGTTTCCCCGCCGGCTGCTGGTCCCTGGCTGCGCCCGGAGTTGCCCGCACCTCGGGGTGCCCCTGTCCCCCCAACCTTCCCCACCCCATACACCCCCCGAGCACGTCCCCCGGTCCCTTGTCCCACGTCCCAGCCCCGAGTAACCCCATCCCTCCGTGCCCCACGCCGTGGTCCCACGTCGCAGCCGGCGCTCTGGGCCCGTCGGCGGGTGCAGCCCGGGGGAGTACATCATCTATACTGTAGTGTCTCATAGTGAACTTACAGTATACGATGATATCCTGCCCGGGGCGGCGGGCAGCGTGCTGCGGGGCGAACGGAGAGCAGCGCCTGCACGGGATGGGGAGAGCACCGTTAGAGAGCACGGTCACCGGGACCACTGCCTCCCCACCCTGGCATCCCCCCTACCCCACCCCAGTCCCCCCCTGGGTCTTGCTGCCCCGGAGCAGGATGGAGGCTTCCAATAACCTCCCCATGCCGGCATCCCCCCCTACCCCCTCTTTTTCCCCCCCAATCCCACCACCCTGGAGCAGGATGGAGGCTCCCAATAGTCCCCTGACCCCAACATCCCCCCTACCCCACCTTTGTCCCCCCACAGTCCCACCACCCCAGAGCAGGACAGCAGCTCCCCAGGAGGTGGCACCTACCTACGGAGGTGGCACTGGGGCTTTGCGGGGTGCTGGGTGTGCACTCGTCTTATAAAACCTGCTCTGCCTCATCTGCATATCTCACATCTGCACGGCACAGCTGGATGGGGCCCCTTAGCCCCTTCATGCCTGGGGGGGGGCACAGCCCCAAGCAGCTCCCCCCAGCCTGGCATAGCCCATATAGTGGGGCTTGGGGACAGGGGGTTTGCAGGGGGCCACCCCCCATGCCAAAGGCCTGTCCCTGTCCTCCTGCCTTGACCTCTGTGGTCACCAGGATGGTCTGTCCCCATAGGTGGGGGGGACCCCAAACTGGGAGCTATAGATTGCAAACTGGTTCCCAGTTGCTGGACAGGGGCTTTGGACATGGCAGGGTGGCAGCCCCACGGGGATGGGACCCGGCATGGTGGCTGGGGGACATCTGGGTGCAGGGGGTCACCCTGCACAGGCACCCCCAGATGAGGTACATGCATGTGGATGTAGGGAGCCTGTGTCCCCCTGGGGTGGGTGACCTCCAAAGCACTGTGTCCCCTGGCCATATATGCTCCCCTGAGGAACGTGTCCCCTAGCAGTGTGCCCCCCCCCAAAAATGTGCTCCCCAGCTTGCAGGGACAAGTCCTCTGGGAGTACATGTCCCCCGCCGGTATGTGCCCTGTCCCAGGGGGATGTGTCCCCTGGAGGGTTGTATCCCCCAGCCGTGTGTCCCCAAAGGACATGTCCCCCTGGCCATGTGTGTCTCCAAGAGGGTTGTGTCACCTCATTGCGCATGACCCATTTGGGGACACACCTGGCCAGGGGACAAGTATGACCATCATACTTGTCCCCTGGCCACGTGTGTCCCCAAATGGCTGCAGTCCCTGGCCATAAGTGTCACCTGCCTGTGCATGACCCTGGTCATATGTCATCCCCCACAGCTATGCGCGTCCCCAGGCCTGTCTGTCCCCACAGGGCCACATCCTGCAGCAAGCACCGTGCCATTGCGCCGGGTTGTTTGCGCCAGTGCATGACGGCATTCTTGGAAGTCGCCTGCAGGGAGGTGATAATCCCCCGTCGGGACTGCCTGCGTGGGGGCCCCGATAAGCAGCAGTGTCCGGCTATCGGGGACCCTGCCCTGCCACGCAAGATGTCCCCAGACTCGCTCTCACCTCTGGGTGACAGGAACAGCAACAGCATCACCCATGATCCCCCCAACCTGGCCAGACCCTGGCAGGAGGAGGCACAGGGTCAAGCCCTGGCACCAGCCTGTCCCCAGGCATGAGGATGCTGGGACTTGGGGGCTGCAAGGGACTGTCCCCTCCTGTCTTTGGCCCCTGCTCTGACCCAGAGGTGTCCTGGGGGGGCCTGGAGTGCTCTCCAAACTGTAGCACAGGCACCCCAGCACCTGCAGCGGGGACATAGGCGAAGTGTCCCCAAGAGTCCCCCAAGCCCTGCCAGCCCCAGGTGAGCCCCATGGGATTATCCCAGTGCCAGCCCCACTGCCTGCTCAGCACCCACAGCACCTGAGGGCAGCCCTGCCCTGTGGCCCTGCACCCCGTGGGGCAGAGGGGGCCCCGAGCATCCCCCAGGCCTGCACCACAGAGCTGGTGTGGGGACCCCCAGGTGCCACAGGGGACCCCCGGGTGCTGCAGCCCTCCTGCCAGCCCTGCTGCTCCAGGGCAGCACGTCTGGCTGCAGATAAGGCGCCGCTGGGGGCTGCCAAGCTGTCCCCACCCGGCATATCTGCAGGGCCACCCTGCTGCAGGGTGCTTGGGATGGGGCCCTTTGTCCTGCCCATGCCCCTGCCCAGCTCGGGAGGGACATGGAAAAACTTGAGGGCACAAGGGAATCGCCTTTGCGCCTGGGAGGGCAGTGCAGCAAAGCCCCCCCCGCGAGCACCATTGGTCCTGCTTGTAGGCTGACCCCAAGAAGGACAGGTACCCCCCAGAGCCACCCTGCTGTCCCCCACTGCAGGGAAGGGTGCACCAGGCTGGGCCCGGGCTCCCGTGGCAGGGCAAGGGCATGGGCTGCGCACAGCCAGGGGCAGAGCGGGGGGAGACGGTGGCAGCATGAGCTGCTGCCACCAGCCTGGCTGCTGGGACAGGCAGAGCCTTTGGTTCACATCAGCCCTGCTCCGAACCCTGGGGTGCCACTGGTTGGGGTGCCCCCACAGTGATCAGCTCCCCAAGTCAACGAGGGCGACGCACCTGGAGCTCATCAGCCACCCTTGGTGGCTCCTGGCTCCATGCTCAACCCTGTGCGGGAGCAGGACAAGGCTCTGCCCCCACCTAGGGCTGGCCAGGAGCAGCCCCAGGGATGGGGCAAGGAGCCCATGGGGACATGGTGACCGTGGAGGAGGCCACGAGCTCCCAGCAGTTTTGCAAGAGCAGCGTGAGCCAGGACCTCAATTCCATGCAGCCCCTGTTCCCCCATCCCAGCGGGAACATCTGCACGCTCCGGGGCCAGCAGCCCCCAGCCGGCCCATGCCACGGCCGGTCAAGCACCGGCTCTGGCGCTGCCCTAGGCCCCGGGGATGCCACAGCAGGGGAGATGGGTGCAGCAGGCACAAGACAAGAGCCAAGGCACACGGTGACAAGGCTTTATTATCATACAGCAGTGACGGTCGCAGGGACGCAGGCATGCACACGCACATGCAGATAGGACGCCTCGCCCGGCACACCCGCCAGCAAGTGCCAGATCTGCGCCGGCGGCCCCGTGGCGCGAGCACAAGCCGGGGGCTGATAACGCCGGTTCTCCCCACCCTGGCGGCAGGGAGGGGGACGGGGTGCCGACGGCCCCCGCAGCACCCATCCACCCCGCAGTGGGTCACTCCTGGCAAACGGACTGGCCAGTACTGGCCCGGGTCCCTGCACCCACCCTACGGCAATGAGGTGGGGGGTGGCACCGAGCTGTGGGTGAATGAGCCAGCGGAGGGACCCCCAGCACCCCATGGTGCCTGCGCGGGTCACCATCCCACTACCCCACAGCAGCGCCAGGCTGACTTCACACATGGGTTGGGCCACTACGGTCGCACTGAACACAGGCGTCGAGACAGCTGGGGAAGCGGCACGGGCCAGCGCAGGGCCACGGTGGCACTGTGGGGAGTACAGGACACACATGGGGACAGCCTCTTTCACATTGTCATTCAGGGCAGCAAAGCCACTGGCCGTAAGAGGGAGGGGGACCGAGCGAGGTAGGGGCTTCTGCACTGCCTGTCGGGGCATCCCCCGGCCAGCACTCAGGGCCACGGCACCAGTCCCAGGGGCGCTGGTCCCCTGCCAGCTGTACAGGCTGTGGTGCTGGAGGAGCCCATCCCCACCACAGCACCCTGCCTGGTCCCCCACCTCCCTCTGACCCGTGGTAGTTTAGTAGTTGGGGGGTACAAGATGTACCACAGCACTCAGGGACAGCAGCCTCAGTGGTTTCGCCTCGTTCTCAGAGGGGGTGGCTTTGGCAAAGCGCTACTTTTTGGCATTCCTAGTGGTGGGACCTTGCCAAGCCTGGGCTGAGTTGGGCTCCCTCCGCTAACCCTCTGTCCGCTCCCCCCAGGCTCTCTCCTCTCCAGATCCCGGGAGGAAACTTCCCCGAGGGAAGGCAGCACGGGAGCGGGCAACACCCACTGGCAGTGTCTGATTGTCACCCTCCCCGGGGGATGACTGCTACCCCGGGGAAGTCCAGCCTGGGCAGGAGTGCTAGCACTGCGAGGGCCCTGTGGGCGAGACACTCCGATGGGGAAAGCCAGCCACAAAAGCAGCTTGTGGGCAGAGGCAAGGGTTGGGCAGTGCCCAGGAGGGTCGCTGTGGGAGGGCAGGGAGCCCAGGGGAGGTGGGTCCTGGCTGTTCTCTTCCTACAGCTCCACACTCCATGCTCTGTGTCCCGCCAAGCCTCTGCTCCAAGCTCTGGGCGGCCACCCAAGGACAGAGAACAGCAAGGCACTGGGATTGCAACACCAGACAAGCTGCCAGTCATAACTGGGGATCGGATCCAATCCCCAGCCTGATACAATATACAGTTAATTACAAAATAAATCCCCTCCCAGCCTTTGTAATAAAAAAAGCAGCTGATTGGACATGCATCTTTCTGGCCCTACAAAATAAGGCACCAGAGCTTAAAAATGAAACTCCAATTGTCTTTGATATAAAAGGAATTCCCACGTGTTGAAGGCAGTTGATGTCTGAGTGCATAACAGGGAGTGATCTTCACTAGCTTTGGGTTGCCCAGCCTCATGCCTGGGCCCCGGTGGCTTTCTGGATCAGGGGAATCTGTAGGAGGGGAAGAGAGAAGCTGTTAGGGTTGGAGGAGGGGGAAGCAGGGAGCTGCCTGCACTCTGTGGCTGGGCAGGGCTGGGGGAGGAGAGGCTCCCTAGGAGTCTGTAAGTTTTTAGGCAAGTCTCTGTGCCCTAAGAGCTGCAGAAATTGCCAGCTGCCGGTGCCCGGCTCACCTTTGTGAGATCCACGCCAGTGATGGCACGCACAGAGGCAGGGATCTCAGCCAGCAGACGGTTTACCTCGGATGTTGTATTGCTGCTCTCTCCACTGAGAATAACGATCTCGTCCACTTTGGAGAGGGGAGCAGCCACTTTGGCAGCGATCTGGGGAAGCACAGAAGGAGGGTGGAACAAGCAAAGAGTCAAAGAGCTGCTCACCAGCCTGCTGGGCAAGGTCCCTACACACCACATGGGGCCTCCCTTTGCCCCCAGGAGACCTGGCCCAGCCTGGGAACTCCCCACCACTTCCCCAGAGCAGGGGAAAGCTGCTCCCTCCTCACCTCAGGCAGCGCATCCAGCACTAGAGCCAGCTGGGCAGCTTCTCCATACTGCTGGAGCGCTTCAGCTTTCAGCTTCATCCTCTCAGCCTCTGCCATCCCGATGGCCTCGATTACAAAAGCCTCTGCTTCTCCGATCTTGCGGATCTTTTCTGCCTCCGCCTGCGCAATGAGGACTTGCTTCACCCTGGAAAGGGAAACCCAGCCCTCCAGCAGCCCAGATCCCCGCAGCGTACCCAGCACTGCTTCCCTCCCTGCCAGCCACGTGCCTGCCCTGCAGAGAGCCCACAAGCTGGGTCTCAGAGCAGTACCTGCTGCACTTTTCTCCCACCTCACCCCAGCCCAGTGTGCAGCCAGGCTCAGGGCTGGACCGGGTCACAGGCTCACTCACTTCTCGCCCTCGGCGATCTGCTGGATACGGTAGGCTTCAGCCTCGGCCGGCCGCTTCACAGTGGCTATCAGCTCCTTTTCCATCCGGATGATCTCCTTCTCTTCAACATCGATCTGCTTCTTGCGCTGCACCACCTCGATTTCAATTTCCTCCTGGCGGATCTTCTGCTGCTCCCGGGCGCTCTGGAGCTCATAGGCCAGCTGGGCCTCTGCAGTCTGCACACACAGGAGAGATGAGAAGAGGGATCTTGGCCACGATCTCCTGTGCGCAGACAGAAGGACCCTTGGCAGGCCCTGAAACCAGACACGGCTCCTGCTCCCAAACCTACCCAGGGGTGACATCCCAGTCCTCAGAACTGCACTTGCTGTCCTTCCCTGTGTGCTCTTCCCACAGCACTCCCAACCAGCTCCAGGTTGAGCTTGGATGACCCTCCCCACCCTTTCCTCTCCTAGTCACACCTAACTGTTGCAAACAGGAGAGGAATCTGCTGCAAGGAGCTCACACTGACATAGAAACCCAGGTTCTCCACCTCCAGCTCTCCTAACACATGCACGAGGAGGAAGCTGGCAAATCCCAGAGCTACCAATACCATCACGAACCAGCCAGGGAACAGCAGTGGGCTGTCTGATACCTCTCACCTTCATGTTGACCTCCTCACTGAAGGCAGCTTTCTGCAATTCAAAAGCCCGTCTGGAATCTGCTATTTTGGTATCTGCCATGAACTTGACATCCAGCATTTCTTTCTTGCACTCTGCCTCCTGCAGAGAGGAAACAGAGAGCAGAGGTCCAGGGTGCGCAGCTGGAGCAAAACAGGCTGCTGCAGGGAAGCCCAGCACATCTCCGGACTCACCCGAATGCCAGCATCTCGCTCGGCTTCTGCCACACCGATGTCTGCATCCCTTCGGACAGCCGCAGTCTGAGTCTTTCCCAGGGAGCTCAAGTAATCTACTTTATCATAGACATCCTAGAGAGGGGAAGATAAGTCACAACCACTTCAAATGAGCGATTCCATCTTGCTCTCTTCCTGTTGAAGCTCAGAGCAATCACTTGTGTGGTTAGGCCAGGTTAAGAAAGAACCATGTCAGCCTGCTGCCAAACAGAAACAGGTGCGACAGGGAGACGCAGGTTCTCCCACCATCTTCCCTCTGACTCCCTGGAGGCTTGGTTATCAGGGAGCTCTCTCCATGAGCCATGTTTACAGAGGCAGCTACCGGGTGCTCTTTGCCCAGCTGCCTGGATACAGGACATGCTGCGGCGGCTGTCATGGAAACTCCCGGAGGGCTGGGGCAGGCTGTCAGCCGGAGCCTTTCAGCCAGCTGCAGCAGAGGAGACAGGGCCAGGCTCTGTCGTGCTGCTTCTACAGCACTGCCGGAGCCCCATAGCACAGCACCCTACGTCTGGGCGTACCTTGATGGTGAAGCTCAGGATCTCGATACCCATGCGACCCACATCAGGAGCTGCCACCTCCCGCACCAGCTTGGCAAACTGATCCCTGTCCTGGTAGATCTGCTCCACTGTCAAGGTACCTGCAGAGGGAAGGAAGGCGAAGCACTTTATTTGGAACAGGTAACACACAACAGCGTAGGTCTAAGCTCAGCAACATCCTTGTTGCCCCTAATTTCTTGAGGTCTGGGCACAAGGGCATAATCCTCTGCCTGGACCCTGCAGTGCAGATGGACATCTGTCTCACCAGTGCAACCACCACACACACCTGTAACCTATGGGGACTCAGACATCTCTTACTGCAGGCACTGAAAACTCACTTATCACAACACCCAGCAACACAGCAGGAGCTGCTGTAGGGGAGGAACAATCTAAGATGCCACCTCTGCAGTCAGCAGAGGAAGCATCCGTTGTGGCTGCAATACTGCTGGGACCAGCCAGCAGAGAAGGGAGAAAGCTACTCAAGATGCCTTCAAGAGCATGAGCCTGTCCGCACCTAGGATGGAGCGTAGATGCCCCTCCAGTGTCTGAAGGACCACGTTCTTCACATCCTGCACGTTCTTCCCCAAGAACTGCTCACAGGCCACAGCCAGGAGCTCCTTCTCAGTCATTATCTTCACCTAGAGACAGGAGATAAAACCAAAGGGACTGAAGGCACCTGTCCAAAGAGGGACAGGCACCCAACAGCAGCAGCAGCAGCAGAAGCAGCAGTACCACCACCAGGCTGCCAGGCCCCCATGCCACTGATGCTCCAAGGGACCATGCTGAGCTGTCACCATGCTGAGCCAGGCCACCGGCCCAGCCAGCGAGCCCCTGCTCACTGCTGTTGGGGTGAGCCCTGCTGCAGGCACACGCAGCAGTGCCAGCGTCCGGGGCAGACACCTCTCCAAACCCCGACTGCAGCTCAGCATGGAGAGGTGCTCCCTGCAGCCATCTATCCCACAGCAGCAGCTACTGGGTGATGTGGGGACAGAGCCTGGCCCTATAAGTCCCACCTGATGAAAACTCTACCAAAGAGCCCTGAATTACCAGTTCAGCCACTGCACCAAAAACCAGACCTAGGAGGAGAAGGCTTTCTATTACCACCCCTGGCCAAAAGCCATTTTGTTACCTTTCTCTTCCTCCTCCTTCACTAGAATTAATTTTTCTGACACAGGAAAGGCAGAGAACAAGGAAGAGTCTGACATGCCCAAGGAGCAGCTTGGGAACAGGGGTTCCATTCAGCGTTCCCTGCAAGGAGAGATCAGACAAGATGGCCGTAGCACACTGGTTTGTCCTGCTTGTGGCTGGGAGCTCCCAGCCGTCCTTTGCGGTGACCCCAATGTGCCTCAGCCAGGACCCAGTTGTCCCACTCCGCACAGTCAGTCTGGTAACAATCTGCAGAGGTGGGACACTGCTGCCCCAGCGCCGCTTTCATGTCCCACAGTCAGAGCCAGATGTAAAAGCATCCCCAGTTCCAGACAAGCCAGGGTCTTACGATGGTCCTGCTGGTCACGGGGCTGCTTTTTAAAGGCAAAGTGGGTTAAAAATCCCTATGGGGTGTTAGGCAGTGGAGATGTGTGGTCATGGAGCTCTATAGGACCCAGCTATGAGGAGCTACAACCCACCAAGTTGACAGTTCCTGGTGGCCAGGTCCAGTCTGAGGGCTCAGGCAATGCCTGGACAGAGGGACGTGTCTGGCAGCACCAGAGAAGGAAGCAGGGCCATATGAGCCACACAGCTCTGCTGGGACCTCTGGGTGCTGAGCGGGTCCCACAGCACCCTCTCATGGAGACATCTGGGCTGTCCCATGAGATGCTGGTGGCACCCTGCGTCCTGCCCCAAGGGCCCTGGCTGGACCTGCTGCTACCTGCAATGCCAGCTTGGTCCTGGCTCAGGATCTCTGAGGCTTCAGGCGCTCCATAGGGGCCCTCCAAGGGTCCCAATGCACGGTCTTGATGGGTTCACAGCCTATAGACCTCATCCTGACACCTACAAGACCACTTTTCAGGGTCAAAGTGCTGGCAAAAGCAGCACAACAATTTATTGAGAAAGCCTGGTTTGATAGCCTGCAAGTCCGAAATGATCCTGCAACCTAACCTCTGGAGCCAAACAGCAACACCCGGCCCTGGCACTGCCAGAGAGCAGGACAACTGGGACCAGCCACCACCTTCTAAGAGGACCAGAGGAGGACCGTGTTGGACATGGTAAACCGACCAAGACTCAGCTGCCACAACCTCATCCCTAGGAACATGAAGCAACACCAACCTGGGCTGAGCCTATTTCCTACCTTTGCTTCTCAGGCTGGGTCTCCTAGTCTAAAACCAAAGGGACTAGGGCAAGCGTGGCAATCCTCTTCTGCTTTCTCCCCAAGACCTCTGGGTTCCTTACAGGGCCAGACCACAGTGGTTTCTCATCCCTGCACCCCGGGCCAGCAGTGTGCACTTTCTACACAAGGGGGAGTTGGGAGAGCTGATTATGGAGCTGCACCCGGGAGCGTGGGCCCTGCACAAGGCTCATCTCGCAGCAAACGGGAGGTTTTTGCAAATACCAAAACCAATTAGAGTCAGCAGCAGCATTTATGGTGTGCATCTGCCAGCAATTCCACCTCTCTAAACAATCCCCACCCTTCAGGAGCTATGGAGAGGACAGTTAGAGCACAGAGCGGGATGTTCATTAAGAGAGTCCCTGCGGTACTTAACAGGAGCAGGGAACGATTCAGCCTCTCTGAATAAAGCTAGCCACCAGCCTGCCTGCACTGGTAGACCCTGCACAGCCCAAACGAGCCTGGCTATCCACTGAATATAGATGTCAACCTATGAAGCAAAGGTTGCACAAAACAGAACAGAGTTGAGCAATTCGCGCTCAGCTTGTTTCCAGTATTTCAGACAGGGCACTGCGACACTTGGTGCTTCTTCAAATGTCATTCACATCAGAGAGAGAGTTTAGCCGGCAGGAAATCAGAGAGCCTCCATAAAACAATTCCATCTGAAGGATCGATACCACCGCACCCAGCTCCAGCCAGCTGCAATCACAGCGAGGGGTGAGCAGAGACAATCCAATTAGCTTGAGGCTCAGAAAAATTGTACAGAAGGATATGAAGCCCAGCTTGGCCTAAGGCAGCAGCATCCCTGCGCACCACAAGCACCCAGCCAATACAGGAAGGAGGCTCCTGGTGAGTACTCATTACATCCCTCTTCAAAAAAAGACAGCATCCTTATGTACATTAAGCACTTCTATTAGTACAGCAAACATTTTAAAAGGTGTTTCTCTAGTAATAATTTGTTTACTTTTTTCCTTTTTTTGCACAAGGCCTTAAAAGAAAGACGTTTGCCTCAAAAGTACTTCTGCAAAATTAAGGTAACCTCTGCCACGCGTGTCCCCAGCTGCCTCAAGCCTGCTTTCTGCACGGCAATTCCTTGCATCTCACAAGCCTAAACCTTTAAAATTAATTGACAGTGGAAAAAATGAACAGTGAGAAGAGAATAACATGAATGAGATGAATTGGGAGCTGCATTTTTAAATCAAGGCACCTGGTGATCCAGCTTTCTGCTACCATGCGCTGCCCAGCCTAGGCCATTTTGCAGGCAATGGAAAGATGTCCCAAAATTAGGTCAAAAAGGAATGCTGCCTTCACAGAAATACCTTTTCCAAATGCAGAAGGAAAAGCCTACAGATTTATGAAATGTGTGTGAGGGGACAGAACAGAGGGGTGCACACATTTTGCCAACCGTGCAAAGACCACTGCGGTTACGTGACACATTAGCAGCTAAATGGATATAAAGAACTGAAAAACTGAAAACAACGACACTGGTTCACATCATTAGAGCCACGATGAGCCCAAGATGCTGGCTCCCATGCTGGTGCTCTTGCATGTAGCCCCGTTCCCCAACAGCAGCAGGGCGATGGATTATCCGCTGTTGTGCCCAGCCCTTCTGCCATGTGTGACAACCCAGAAACTGCTCCTGGCTGAATTCACATCCTCACTTACGCACAGACACAGCACACAGCTCCTCTGCAATGTCAGCCGAGAACAAACCAATGAACCCACGGAGGAATCCGCTGCTCTGGAAAGCACTGGGTGAAATATGTCAAGCACTTGGTCTTAAAAGGGCTGCAGCAGCCACGGTGCTCTTCCCTAGGGGGAGCCTTTTGACGCATGTGGGATTTTGGTCACATCACTGCGTCACTCAGCAGCTCCCCTTGGCTCCACTGCTCACCGCAGCGAATGTGACCGTCACCTCTCCTGCAACAACAGACCTGGACATGCCTTGGGACACATGGTGACCACAGCCTTGTGTGCACTCAGAACCACTATCTTGGTTTTATACACCCAGAATGAGCTGTCGGGAGCAATTTTAAATCAAAGCATCCAGCTGCCTATTTGGGGAGTCAAATTCTGTCAAAAGCTAACAACGTTTCCCTCCCAGCATCTTCCCCTAGGCAGGACCAGGTCACAAGGACAAACTCTGTATCAGGGCAGCAGGCCTTGGAGTCTAAGAAACATGGGTGCAAGCAGCAAGAGCTGGTTCTCACGTATGAAGGCAGCTTCAGAGAATCAAAATTCAATTCAAGCCAGAAATTTTACACACAAATTTTAGTGCCTGGAGGGACTAAGTTCTTTCTTTAAGCTTTAACTCACCATGAAGAATTACAAGGTCCACGTGCTAGTAATAATAATCGAAAGCAACATAACGCTCGATACCATCTCAGGAGTGAATGGCTCAGTCCTGCAGGGTCACACGCAGCTCCAAGGGCACTGTGGTACTTCAGCGTTTCACAAACAGATCAAGTCACCCCCACACACCTCATTTGCCACATGGACAAATGAGACACCAGAAAGAGGAATGATTTTGGGGAGAGAAGGAGAGGTCACAACCCCCTTCACAACATGGAACATGTTGTAGTGTGTTTGAACCAACAAGGACAGCGTGATTTTGTACAAGAATGTGTTTCAGAGCATTTGGCTTCTGTTCCTGGACAACAGCAACCTCTTAAGGGGGAAAACTAGATTTAAGTTAGAGACATGCATTCCTGAAATGATGTTTTGGAGTTACTGTACCTGTGCCACACCTGTGACAGTTAAAGCTACCCCCTCCGCCGTCTCTACGTCCTCACACCTGGGCTGTAACGTCATTATCTCTAGGGAAATCCTGCCAAAAAACGTAAAATATTTGCACGTTTCCAGGTAACACACACTCAGCTCTTCCCTTTGCATCTCCTGCCCCGGGCTACCTGCCGCACTCATCACAGGTAATGTAAGACAGGTGCAGAATGCAGCCGAGGGACTACATCTGTGACTGGAGACAGACAAGTCACTTTGGCCAAGAAATAGATTTTTCAGATAACGCTTAAAGGCAATTTATCAGCAGAGAAAGGCTGGGAGCCAGACTGGAAATGATACCGTGACCCTTTCCCTTCTGCTGGGCTAGCGAGGTGGCCAGAAGCTAGCAGCTTTGAGAACTCAAAGGGCCCCCTGTCAGAGGCTCGTTGTGCCACACTGCCCAACGCTGGGGCAGCACGTGCTCTCGCTGGCTGGTGTCACTGGTTTAAAAGCACAGCATGGACCCAGGATGCCACCCCCCAGCCCCACACTGCCAGCCCCACAGGAGCCCTGGTGCTTGGCAAAACCTGGTGCTGATGCTGCAAGAAGCAGCCCTGCCTTTGCCCTCGCTGGATTAGCATTAACACAGACCTACCCCCTGATCTGGTTCACCTCTCCCTTTTCCTGTGTCCTGAAACCCAAAGGCAGATAGAAGTGAGTCTCCAGCTCTTCAGGGTCATGCCTGTACAGTATCAGGCACCCAGGAACAGATCCTGCAGCTCTAGAGCTTTCTCAGTCACCCAAGGTGGGCTCGAGGCACTTTGGCCAGACCCAGCAATTTGCAAGTCATGATTTGGTAAAACGAGAGACATGCTTGGCCGTGGCAGGTTCTGCTTCAGGAAGCAAAGCCTGGCTCTCGTGTTGGCCATAACAAGCCGGGAAGGCGCTGGGAGTCAGGACAGGGAGCCATAGGGCAGAAAGCTTGTGTCAGTGAACATTAGGTCAAACATTTGAACCGTGAAGGGGCTGCACTGGGCTGCTGCATGCACGCCGAGTTGCTCCAGGACTGACTGGAAGTGCCGAAACGTATCTCTGCAAGTTCATGCTTGCCTTGGCCACTGTCCTAATTAAACTGGCACGGAAGCTGGGAGCTGGTAAAACAGATCCCACTGTCCAGAACACGCAGAGGCATTTTTTGCCATATGTATTCACAGCTTTGATCAGCTAGTGCAGGATTTTAGCCTTCTGAAGACCTAATCTATACTTGGAATTTAATTTCAATACTGTGCTGCTTCTTAGCTGACAAGTCACAGGGATGTTTGGCAATTACTGTTACACTGGTTCATAACGGCTCACAGTGCAAACGCTAGTCCTGTATGTTGCAACTCATCCGAGGTCTCTATGCTGTACTTTCAAATGTGACAACATCCAAAATGGGCACTGTCTCCATGAAGAGGAAGAAGGGCTGAGTGGAAACCCATATCCAAAACTGCAGAGCCAGGTACAGTTGCAATTTCCCCACATGTGTACAGGTTTCCTTTTGAAACAGCACAAAACCTGCCTTCCCACCTGCCCCAAACCCAGAAGCCAGTCTGGCCTGCTTGTGGCTCCACACAAAAGCAGATGCCCTTCTGCTCTCCACCAAGCACACAGTGGAAACAGTGCTGTTGAGGAAAGGGTTACAGCTGGAGCAAATGTCTGCAGCATTATCAGAAGGAGCCAGTACAGCAATGCTGAATTTGGAATTTGACAAATATGCATCTGTCTGCATTACCTATAAACTGTGGAGTGCGCCCCAGGGCAAGTGCCGGAGAAGGGGAAGGAGACGAGGGTATTGAGATTTCAACCGTCCCATTAGAAAACCATTAGTTTTTATGTTATCCTGCTGCTGCTGCTGCTGTTGCTGCTGCTCAAAACAGAGGGATAAACGGTTAGACACAGTGTTAGGAAGCTGGTGGATTATTACCTGTGCAACCCCTGTTACGTACAGTGGGACCCCCTCCGACGTCTCAATATTCTCACAGCGACAGAGGATGGTCATAACCTCCAAAGACAGTCTGAGCAGCGAGGAATAAGGGTAGGACAGCAAATATACAAAGCAGTTATCAGAGAGTTAGACACCCATTGCAAAGGGCAGACAAGACTTTCAGGTTTCCAATTTTCCCTGTTCAGTTTGCCTTTCTCCCACTGCCTGCTCCCAGGGCTGCATAACGCTGGGCCAGAGCAGCTTCTCTGGTCACTGCGGGGAGTTTACAGCATCTAGCTGTTTCTTTTAATGCGGACAAACAGGCTGGGGGCTCGTCTCCACCCTGTGTCCTGTAAGTCACCGCAGATGAAACCGAACTGTGTATCCCACCTGAACTGCCATCCTGGAGTCAGCTGGAATTCTCTGTTGGAGTAATCTTCACACACAGAAAATTCCTTTTTGTAATCATTTAATGCTTCTAAGCCAACATTTAAGAGGGGCCAGAAAAATGAAAATGCCAGGGACCTGGCTACCCACCCTTGGCTAAGGCACTGATGAGAGAAGGTGCTTCCAAGTGCTGTTCTGGGAAGCTGAATAATACCATTTGGTTCCCCCAGAGGCACGTAAGACCATGCTGCCTCTCTCACTGCTTTTATTTCTGACCCTTAAACAGGGATTGGATTTTTTTAAAATTTTTTTTTCCAGTCCTCAAGGTTGCAGCAGGATAAGAGCCCAGCACCCTGCCAGCTCTAACTGTTCCTTTTGTTCCCAGGTTAGTGCTACCTGGCGGGATGCCGCTGACAGCAACACAATTGCTGCTGTCTCTCTTGCTCTCAGCACTGGCAGTTCCAGAAAAGATGTCCTAATTTCAGAGGAGGAAATGTGTCTCGCTCTTCATGTTAATGGAGCAGGCTCCATCTGTGGCATGGCTTATGGTATTTGGGAAAGGCACTGTTTTCAAAAGGAGAATTAAGCCCCATATCCCATGGCTTGAACCAGGGGTATGATTTTAAAGTAAAAGATTTGTTTGGGTGCTGGCATTCCTGTCAAGAGCCCTGTTCGCTAAATAATGCACAGACCTCTATCATATGACAGCTCACTCCTGGCAAGCAGTTCTTGGCCCTGGACTCAGCCTTTGCTTAACTTAACAAGTCAGCCTCCCAAACACATCTGTTATCTCCTGCACATGGCAGGTCAAGGTCCTGCACTGTTCTCTGGGCTTCTCACACAAGAGGAGGAGCAGAAACCATTTGTTCAAATCAACAGTTCTCCCAACGAGATGCCTCTCAAAAATTCAGGAATGAAGCCTGTTTGGATCAAACGCAGTTCTTAAGCATTGACCCCACAAGCTGGGCCTTTCCTTCCTTTCCCACCTCGTACGAGCATCACTGGAGAGCCCATGCTAAAGCAGCAGGTGTTAGCTGAGACCTCTTCATGCAGTCAGAGCACTATGGTAGGCTCCCGTAGCAATCCCAAGTACCAGCCACCTGGGAGAGGACCTGAGAGCTATCATGAGTCAAATGCCAGCAGCAGCCAGAACCCCTTTGAACAAGGCAAGCTGCCTGACCCGCAGGTGAGCAGCAGCTATGGCAGTGTATCCTCTGTAGAGTGAGGGCAGCAACATGCTCACTTTGTCTGCTGGTGGCAACACATGAACAGGGAAAAGAGGTGGCCAGATCAAGCATGAAGGGTTAACTACAACTTCTGGCCATCACTCAGTGCAAAAACCCAAAAGTCACGTCTTTATCCTTTGTTCCTATTATCTTTTACACAGACGGAGGAAACCTGCATTGGTGATGAGCATGAGGGAGGTGTTAGGAGAAAGTAACATTCCCATGGATCCTAAAGACCAAGAGCTATGTTAGCACGACAGCAGCACTGTCACAGCATGTTAGTTCAGAGACCAGCACAGTAAGAAGCAGCAAGCAAAATCCACAACTGAGGAAAGGGAGAGAAAGGAAATCCCGTGGTTTTAAATAGGAACACAGCCTGCTCCCAAAGTGACAGCAGTCAGCGTATCTTTAGAAAAGGAGACTTGAGGAGCAGGAGGGGGCACTGGCCCACTGCGTGCCACAAACGTGTTTGTTACTGGGTGAGATTTGGGCCATACTGGGCAGAACTCAGGTCCCCTTGTGAACTCATGGATGAGCCAGGCCAGTGGCCCCGCCGCCCAGTACCTCTGCGAGAGCCTCATAGCTGCGGAGCACTGCAAAGGCAGCAGCAGAGGAGAGCAGGGCTGTCGCCTTCCTCAGCACTCACTGCACCAGCACAGGAAGAAATACAATGACCAGCCAGGCTACGGCCCTCTCAGCTTTTTGGGTTTTATGTTAATAAAAAACAATGAACCAAAAAGGGGGGGGAGGGGGGGAGAAAACAAAAATCGGATTTACTTGGGTTTAAGGAGAGGTGTGGACAGAGAGGCCATTTGGAAAATACTTCCAAGCTGAAAGCATGGGATTTCTTTTCTTTTTTTGTTTTTTTTGCACCGTGATACCC